GGGGCTTGGAGCAACCTGGTGTGGTGGGAGGTGTCCCTGCCCAGGGCAGGGGTGCTGGAACTTGATGATCTTTAAGGTCCCTTCCAACCCAAACCATTCTATGACTCTATGATGCTATGATTCTGTGCTTCTATGATACAGGCACTGGGGTTTCTCCCAGTAGAGGAGGCAGAAGGAGCCTGCCCAGGGTTTGAGGCAGGAGGTGGCCATCAGTGGGGCACGGGCATCCCATGGGAGCTGTGCTGTGCAGGAAAAATGAACCCTGTGGGGCTTTTCTTAATGCCTTTCATCTCCCCACGACTCATTCCTAAGCAAGGCTGTTGGCCTCCAAAGGTTTCATCGCTGTGAAACGGCTGACAGTGTTTTCAAGCTGAGGTAAAACACCACGTCCATGCTCAGAACGGGGCTTGCTCTATGTGGAGAGCAGGATGGATGGGATGTGTTAGGACAAGCGTTCGTGTTCTCCCTCAGATCACAGTGGTGGCTCTGGTGTGATATTTGACCACACAAAGCTGTAAGTAACTGCCTTCTTTGAAGAGCTGAAGGGGTGGAAACGCACCAGGAGCCTCACTGAGGGCCTGTGCTTGCTGGTGGCCCTGAGGAGCAGCAGAAAATCATCAGGCTTCTCTGGAAATGGTTCCTTGCAGGGTCCTAGGAGTGATGTGGATGATCTGACGTGTCTCAGATTGTTCCCTGGGTTTGCTGCTGCCCAGGAGTAGATGTGGAGCTGGGAAGCAGTTGTATTTTTTCCATACATGTGTCGACACGGCTCCGGTTGTGTGTGGCTGGACAGGTTTCCCATGGAAAAAAAAAAACCAGGAGAAACATCTGCCAAGGTCATGGCAGATGAGCTCCTGGCCATGGCCAGCAGCCTTTGATGGACTTAGACAGTCTCTTGCTGAGGGTGGGGTGGAAGGGATGGAGGAAAGTCCTTGCCTTTTCAAGTCACTGTTTGATTTCTTTTTGGGGGACTGGGGGCCCAGACACGCAGCTGAAGCCAGCCCCAGGCCCCTGTCACTTTAGATCTTGTTTGTTGGAGAAACATGCCCTAACTGGAGGTCTTACACTTTCATTTTTACAGCTACAAAAGGCCGTATAAAAAGCCCCATAAAGTTGCCTGGATTTATTTGGCTAAAGACTGCAGCGGGTCCATCAGCATCTAAATCCTCATTCAGCGTTTGCCGTGTGCTCGTGCTCTTGGCAGGAGCTTGCCTGATTTCCCGTGATTTTCACTAATGCAAGTTTTCTTCTTGCTGTATTTTAAACTCTCCTAATTAGAAATTTTTTGACTTCTGCCTCCAGAGCCTATCTGGGAAAAGCCATCTACGGGGCACAGGCTGCTAACACAGGATTACTGTTGTTCAGCTTATCTTTCCGGCTTGAATGGTTTAATAGGTCAGTCAAGTATTAAAATGGGCTTTTCACATGGATATAAAATCTTTTTTAAAGGGCATTTTTTTTTTAGTCTCAGGTGGACCTCGGCAGTCAGGATGCGCTGGTGTTGCCCTTTCCAAACAGCTCTACCCTTTTATCTTGATGATCTGATAATGCTCCTCATCCTGCCCTGTTATCAGGGAGCCCAAAAGAGCCTGAAACCGAGAGAATCCCCTGAAAAAAAATAGTTGTATCTTCCCAAATAATCATTTGTAGCGAAGGTGAGGAACAACATAACCCCGTTTAATGGGAGTTGAAATGAATGTGTGTGGATTTTCGAACTTGGCAATGTCTTTTTAAATGTCATTATAAAATACTCTTTCATAGCTTCTTAGGGAAGGATGGAAAAGCTTGTGGTTGAGGGTCTCGAGAGGTGCCTGTGGTTGTCCAGTTCTGGAGTCTGATGCTACAACTGGGCATGGAGAACCATGGCCAAGACCTGCTGTGCATGGCTCGGCTGATGCGGGGAAGTTTTATATATGGGGATGACATGTATATATGGCATTTATCTATGGTTTGGTGTAGGACTTTCATATTGTGGCTGCCCCATCCCTGGAGGGGTTCAAGGCCAGGCTGGATGGGGCTTGGAGCAACCTGGTGTGGTGGGAGGTGTCCCTGCCCAGGGCAGGGGTGCTGGAACTTGATGATCTTTAAGGTCCCTTCCAACCCAAACCATTCTATGACTCTATGATGCTATGATTCTGTGCTTCTATGATACAGGCACTGGGGTTTCTCCCAGTAGAGGAGGCAGAAGGAGCCTGCCCAGGGTTTGAGGCAGGAGGTGGCCATCAGTGGGGCACGGGCATCCCATGGGAGCTGTGCTGTGCAGGAAAAATGAACCCTGTGGGGCTTTTCTTAATGCCTTTCATCTCCCCACGACTCATTCCTAAGCAAGGCTGTTGGCCTCCAAAGGTTTCATCGCTGTGAAACGGCTGACAGTGTTTTCAAGCTGAGGTAAAACACCACGTCCATGCTCAGAACGGGGCTTGCTCTATGTGGAGAGCAGGATGGATGGGATGTGTTAGGACAAGCGTTCGTGTTCTCCCTCAGATCACAGTGGTGGCTCTGGTGTGGTATTTGACCACACAAAGCTTTAAGTAACTGTCTGCTTTGAAGAGCTGAAGGGGTGGAAACGCACCAGGAGCCTCACTGAGGGCCTGTGCTTGCTGGTGGCCCTGAGGAGCAGCAGAAAATCACCCGGCTTCCTTGGAAATGGTTCCTTGCAGGGTCCTATGAGTGATGTGGATGATCTGACGTGTCTCAGATTGTCCCCTGGGTTTGCTGCTGCCCAGGAGTAGATGTGGAGCTGGGAAGCAGTTGTATTTTTTCCATACATGTGTCGACACGGCTCTGGTTGTGTGTGGCTGGACAGGTTTCCCATGGAAAAAAAAAAACAGGAGAAACATCTGCCAAGGTCATGGCAGATGAGCTCCTGGCCATGGCCAGCAGCCTTTGATGGACTTAGACAGTCTCTTGCTGAGGGTGGGGTGGAGGGGATGGAGGAACGTCCCTGCCTTTTCAAGTCACTGTTTGATTTCTTTTTGGGGGACTGGGGGCCCAGACACGCAGCTGAAGCCAGCCCCAGGCCCCTGTCGCTTTAGATCTTGTTTGTTGGAGAAACATGCCCTAACTGGAGGTCTTACACTTTTATTTTTACAGCTGCAAAAGGCTGTATAAAAAGCCCCATAAAGTTGCCTGGATTTATTTGGCTAAAGACTGCAGCGGGTCCATCAGCATCTAAATCCTCATTCAGCGTTTGCCGTGTGCTCGTGCTCTTGGCAGGAGCTTGCCTGATTTCCCGTGATTTTCACTAATGCAAGTTTTCTTCTTGCTGTATTTTAAACTCTCCTAATTAGAAATTTTTTGACTTCTGCCTCCAGAGCCTATCTGGGAAAAGCCATCTACGGGGCACAGGCTGCTAACACAGGATTACTGTTGTTCAGCTTATCTTTCCGGCTTGAATGGTTTAATAGGTCAGTCAAGTATTAAAATGGGCTTTTCACATGGATATAAAATCTTTTTTAAAGGGCATTTTTTTTTTACTGCAAACACTTCGTATTCTCTGCATCTTATTTGCTCCGATCGGAGGTTTTAAACTTGAATATGATTTCACAGTTCTCTTTTCTCACCTGCTTCCGTGATGCTGCGGTTATAAGGCGTATGTCAATATTTGAGGGGAATAAATTGCTGATGACTCCAGCTTCTGTTTAGTTTTATGAATCATCTCGGGGTCGTATGATCTCAGCGACTGCGCTAGCGACGTGTGATTTCTGATGGGACTGGAGCCAGCGTGTCGCTCGGTGTTGGGCTCCCTTTGCTCTGAATATTCATTACCGGTGTTTGCTGGCTGCTTACTGCTTCCAAAACCCAGACTTTCTGAGCTGTGAGGCAGCAGAGTGGCTCGAAGGCGACTGTCGCTCCCCGTTTCAGGCTGGTGCTTGTCAGGAGTCACCATGTGTGATGGTTGGGGGGTTTCTAAATGGCTCTGAGACGTTTTATCCTCTTTTATTATAGGAAAAAGTTCTGCACATCTGCATGTCCCCTGCTCTGTCAGTGCAAGGCATGGGAGGCACTTGGGTTTTAATATTTGGTTTTCCACACGTTCTCCCAGTTCAGGGGAAGGTTGAGTGCAGAACTGGTCAATGCCCGAGACAGTCAATGCCACCTTGATCAAAGATGCCACACCTCTACTGCTCCACCAAGAGCCACCCCACTTGGAAACCTATGTCCAACTCTCTTGGAAATCCATGTCCCCTCCACTTGGAAACCCATGTCCACCTCGCTTGGAAACCCATGTAACCTCCACTTAGAACCCCGTGTTCCCCTCACTTGGAGACCCATGTTTACCCCACGTTTCAGAGCTGCTGATGGCCTGGCAGCCACCACTTGGGCTTTGCCCAGAGTTTCTTTCAAGAAATGGACCAAAATGAGACTAAAGAAAGAGCAAAAAGCGATGGAGGAAATCTTTCCTCATATGCCCAAGTATTATTAACTCTTACCAGGTAGTGGTAGAGGGAGGAATTAATGGGATACTGCATTTTTTTTGTGTTGGGAGAGCACAGGCATCATTCACATTGCTCCTGTGGGTGGAAAGCAGTGGGCATGGGCTGTGATATTCAGCAGCTGGATGAGTGTGGAGTAAAAGGGGGCTCCAGTGCTGGCGTTTCCACCCTTTGGGGATGAGCCCTGCTCTAGCTCTGCAGCCGTGAGCTCGCAGGGGTGGCAGAACTGAGGTGCCTCACATGAAACCAAGGAATTGCGTTGTATTTTAGTACAAGCTCAAACACAGTGTGTACGTGTGTTCCTCGGAGACTTAACATGAGCAAGCTGCTGAAGACATTTGTTCACCGCTCTAAAACGGGCTTTCCCTTCCTCTCTTCCATCTTTTGTTTTCTGAAAGGAGAAAACAAAATGCTAAGTGATTAAACTGGATTAGATTTATCTGCAGACATTTCCCTCCGAGCTGCGGCGTGTGGCCATTTCTCATCCCTCTGCCTGCATTCCAGTGGGATGAGGCCTTGATTATATGGGAAATACTATATTATTTCTCTCTTCTCTCCTCGCAGGTGTTTACAAAATATGGGAAATGCTACATGTTTAACTCAGGAGAAGAAGGACGGCCTCTTCTTACCACGGTTAAGGGTGGGACAGGCAATGGACTGGAAATCATGCTGGACATACAGCAGGATGAATATTTGCCAATATGGGGAGAAACAGGTAAGAACTTTTTCTTCCTGCAAACGTTCATGTCCTGCTGATTTTTTTGGAAAGACCATCCCATCCTCCAGAACCAAAAGCTACACTTAACTGCTCTTGAAAGCAAGAAGTCTTCCCAGTCTGTGTGGAAATGAGTTGCTTTTCTTCTCGGTGTCTGCGGCTGCTGGTTGGGACCAGCTTGTCCATGGTTCAGGTCATCAGTGAGTGTTGGACTTGGGTGTCTTGGCAGCAACCATTGGGATGCCAAACAGGAGTGTCATCGCCTGTCCTGGGGTGGGCTCTTGTGGGTGACAAGAGGTGTGGTGTCTCCCCAAGATGCTCCAGTGCCTCCCTCTTGCCTAGAAAGACGTTTTTGGGAGGCCACGTTCAAGGTGGACCTCCAGCTGCTGTGTGCGCTTTCCCTCTTGAAATCTGGGGACATTCGTTGCCCTAATTGTCCTTGGGTGGGTTCGTGCTGCCTGGGTGGACCAAGGGGTTGGCTCATTGCACTCAGAGCATGTGGGATGGTTGGCATCTGTCCCTTTATGAACCCAACTGGGTCGGGCATCTTGCACAGAAGGGCAGAAGGTGCTGCCCAGAAGGGCTGGGCGCTGTCTCGCAGGTCTCATGGGGTGGGATGGCAGCACTTGGAGGGGACGTGGAAATGGTGCCTCCTGCAAGGGCAGCTCAGCAGCTCCCATCACCCCAACCAAGCTGCCACGGTGGAAGTTACTGGCAATGCTGGTGCCAGTTTTTTTCAGGAAACCTGCTGCAAAAAGGGCAGGTAAGAGGTTGCAAGAGGGGTGGCATGGGCAGGGGACAGCACGGGGAGTGACACGTGCCACCAAAGCCACCCGTTTAGAGCAAGCCTTATCGGTCCTTCAGCGGTGGCAGCTGCACTTTTCGTGAACCCACGTTGACATTTTAAACAAAGCATCCAAAAAAAACCACGTTGGAAAAATTGCCAGCCGCTCTCCTTCTCTGGCGGTTGCGAGGCAGAGCGTTGCGGTGGGAGTTCTTCAGGGTGAGGTTGTGTTATTTCTGGGTACCAGGAAAGGGAGAGGAGCCAACATCACGTAAGGTTTTGTGTCGCCATCGCTCCATCGTCCTGCACCAATGAGCCCCTTCGAGCACCTTTCGATCTTCTGCTGGAGAGTGGAGACTTGGTTGGGTTCATTCAAAACTTACCATTTATTTGCGTGGTGTTGGATTCTTGCGATTTAAACAGATTCCCACGGTCCCGTCAATCATTTAAAATTGCACAGGCTTTTATAGCAAGAGCTTTTGCTTCCCAGTTTTTACCTCATCTTCAGAGTCGGCCTGATCTGGCCCCGGTGAGGGGGAGGAGACGGGTGATTTGAAATCATCGTTTCTGACTTGTTGCATTTGTTTGAAGTCTTTAAGTTTTAAAGGCAAACCAGGTTCACAATAGACAGTGGGAAGATGAAGCACATCTTCTACCTCTGATGCTTTGTCACTGAGTCTGCCTTGGGGGAGCCCGTGGGTGCAGGAAACCATCACACTGATGGCTTGGAAAACCCCACCGACAGCTCTGTACGTTCTACTTTGTTGGGTTTTGGACCCCTCTGAGGTGTCCCATGGAGAAACATACCTTGTGTCACACCCTTCTTGCTTTAGGTTTGCTTTTTGGAGCTGTCTTTTGGAGAATCTTTAGGAGGAACCCATCCAGAAATGCATTTTAGAGCTCTGATGCTGGGGAAGGAGGATCAGCCTTGGCTGGGTAAAACAGACTCTCATTGCACAGGAGGCAAAAAGAAAGAGAAAGAAGCAAGTGGAGAAATAAATTGGGTGGACAAAAGAGGAGGATCAACCAGGTCTTGTTCTTGCTGTCTGGCAAGGAAGCTGGGCAGGAGAGCTGGTGGCAGTGGGGAGGAGGTTTCCAGTCTGGTACCTCCATGTCTGTGAGCGTCACCATCATCCAGAGGTTAGGTGGGGTGGCAGCTTCTATTCTTTTCACTCTCTTCAGACAACTTTCAAGCCCTGCACGTGGCAAAGGTGCTTGAAACCTGGCCATGCTGTGGACTTGAAACCTAAGGGGAGAAAAAAAAAACAACCCCAAGTGCATTCCTTTTTTTCAAAATTCTTGTGGGTTTTTGTGTCTTTTGAGTCCACACTTGAATTTTGACCAGAAGTGGAAGGGAGAAAAGTACCCCTTTGATTTTCAAGATGCCCTTGATGATGTCATGCCCCCCCTACCATGGCCTCACGGCTGCTAATCTCATGCGTATTTAACATAAGTATGTACTCAGCTAAAGATTAGAGGCACAGGGAGAGGCCCTGGTTCTCACATCCCTAGAACTGGGCTGATATTATGGGGCTGGATTGCACTGGGATAGTTATTAAGGTCTATCTGAGTGTGAAATGCTGTAGGAGTCAAGGCAAGACTATATAAATAGGGCTCTTGATTTGATTAAATGGTGTAGGAGAGGCTCCTGGACTCGTTGCAAGCAAATTTGGCCATGTTCTTACAGGTAGAACTGGTACTTGACTTTCAAGCTCATAAAACATTAATCTTTGCCTTTCAACAAGGGACTTTTTTATCCTCCACATTCGTACAGCACCTTGTACAAGCTGTCTTCAATCTTCATTGAGCTCTCTGGACACTACCAGAATAAAAATATTAACTATAGTGGTTAATAGTTGCTGTTCCCATGGAAACACTTAACTCAGCTCTTAGTAGGTAAGTGAAGGAGTTGATGATTTCCAAATATTTGCATAATAATGTAAATGTGTTTGGAATTAAATCTTCTCAGCTGCTGCCGCTGGGACGGCACAAACTTGGCTCTCCGATGAAAAGCTTTGTCAAGGACACTCAGCTCTTGGTGGTGAACTTCAGCCCTGGCTGTGGAGAGGGATGGGGTGGACATGGGGGAAGGTCCCGGTGTTGGGGGAAGGTCTCGGTGTTGCGTTGCTAAAGCCCCATGTAGGCATGGGGAAGCCCAGCCATGGGGATACCTCCATTGAAGGAGTTGAGTTTTTTCTTCCCAGTGAGTTCATATCTCTGTTATAGCCTGAGCTGTTCTGTTCTCTTCTTATCTTTTAACTCTTCAGACACTTCTACAGACTGGTTTTGCTGCTCCGTTTTCCCAATAGCCATCCCATACCCATCAGCTGCTCTTTCAGTTGCCTCTCAGGCAATAATTTTTGTGTGGTTGAGCTACATGACCTTTTTTTTTCCCAGCTTCCAACTTCCACAGTGTCCTCCCAACGTGGCTTCTCAAACCATTTCCTTTCCCAGCTGGTTGTCCCGTGTTAATCCAGGTTTTCCCAGAGCGATCTAGAGCTGCCCCCACCAAGTTGCTGTCTCAGACATGGTGTTCACACCCAGTTAGGGCTTTACAGATGCTGAAGGAGGACCAACCTCCATCACTACAGAGAGCTCTTCACATAGAAAAATAACTCATTTCTCTGGCCCATCATGGTGGCCCGGGCTCATGCTTCCTGCAGGGGTATGTCCCATAGGAAACAACCACCCAAAGAACCCTCCAGGCCCCAGGTCACCATCCCAGCCATGGTCCAGACACCGCATGGGACCTTTCCTCCTGCACCCCAGGTCCCTCAGACCCTCCTTGGCACAGAGCAGTTGTGGTTCTGGTGGATGCAGCTGTGATTTTTATCAATGCCAAGTTCAATGGGTGGCATCTTACTCTGTATTTGGTTCCGTAGATGCTTTGCTTTTTGCTCCAGATTTGGAGATGCCGTGAAAGCGCGGTCTCCTTCGCAGCCCCACATGAAAATAGTTGGCGCGTGGACTCAAAAGAAAAAAAATCCTCATTTTTGCTGCTGGCTGCATGCCTCAGGATCTCGGCTTTCTTTTTTAAACTGTTCTTTGCAATTCAAATAAGAAGGGAAGAAGGAAAATATTGGTTCGTAGCTTTGGGATAGGGCTGCTCCAGGAGCTGCCACCACCACATCACACTGGCATGAGCTTTGTAATACAAGAAGTGATTTAATTGTTACTGACTCGGCAAACAAAATGAAGTGTATTGTCATTCTAAAAAAGACCTTTACTGAGTATCCATTAATATCTCAGGAAGCTGAAGTATCTTGTCTAACAAGTTGCTTGTAATAGAAGAATATACCTTTTGCTCGGTTGTCTGCATATGCAGGCTCATTATTTGAACATGTTAAATTTATGTGCAGTCTAATTTTGGAATCACGAGTGTACACAGACTGCTTCAGTCTTGATTTTCAAGTGCGAAGAAAAGGGTATTTTGACTGTGTCTGGATGTCATGGCATCAGGCAGCCTTGCCGTCGTTGGGTGTGCAAAAATATTGTGTCAGGGCTGTCAAAAGCATGAGGCGCGTGGAAAAAAAATTATGAGAAAAAGAAAAAGAACTGGAAGTCTCTGTCATTTGAATTTTGCACTTCTAGAATTTATATTTTCTAGCATTTTACTTTAACCATGAGCGTACCAGACGTGAAAAGACTGGGAAGATAATTTGTGGCTGAAGTCTTCACGTCACCTTTGTGCTTTAAAGAAGGGAATCGTGATGCAAACAAACAAACAGAAAAACCCTAGCAATTCTGCATGGAGAGGTAAAATGGAAGATGGAAAAAATGTTTATGAGGGAAAAAAATTCTTTCCAGTAACTGAGGAGGAGACGGCAAACGGAGCAGCGTAGGTGGAAGCTGCAACCAGTCGTACATATGGCAGGGAATCTCCCAAATTCTGCGGTTACGCATCTTTGTCTCACAAGATGAGGGGCTTGTTTTATCACACCTGATAGGGAAAGTAGCAGAAAGGCAATCAAATATAGGAGAAGAAAATCTCAATTTATAGCGGCGATTATTTGATTGGAAAGGGAACCCACTTCTGGTTAATCTTTCTGGAGTGGCCCAAGGTATTATGTATTGACCTAATATAGCGGCACAGTAAATTGGAAATCACTCAGGCTACAGGGCTGTAAATAAGAAATACAATCGGAGGGTTCCGCGTTTGTGTTTCAGAAATTGTTGGATAAAGATGAACATTTCATACCAATTAATCAAGTAACAC